TGGCTGTCATTTTGGTGGTGTTTCAAAAGGAAACATAGGCAAATATGGCTTAATATGCCATGCTTTCTGTCCCTTCCCTGTCCTATCTGAATTACAATGATCCTCCTTTCTGATCGCTACCTTGTACAACATACTATTTGCTTCAGGGTAGGATGGGTTAACTTGTCACAAAAAGACATAGGGAGACCTGACCTGGATGAGTGGACACGGCCTAGGTATCCAGGGCCTGGGGCTGTCAAAGGAGGCGACAGACTCCTGGGAGAGTTGTGCACGCATTCGCAGGTATACGTAGAATACTGCCTTATGTGAAGGGAAACCCTGTTAGTGGAAACGGTATGAGAAGGTGTGCATGGGCGTGTGTATGTACATACTTCTGCACACATTGGTGTGCTGGGAAGCAGATCAGTGGTCTGCCAACAACTTTATTATCTGTCTTTCCCATGGCCACTCTCTTCTGTTCTTGACAGTATAACCTTCTTTTGAGGAAATGCTCCTCCCTCTGTTTTGATGATATAGAGCTATCGGGCGTGGCCCATCACAGACACACAGAGGAACAGTAATACAGTCCAGGACAGTAGGATCCTTCCCTGGAGTTTTCTAATCGGAGGCAGGAAAATACAACCTCTTGAGTGTGGACTCCAAGACCGTGAACCTGAGGCCATCGGCAGTATTGGGAGAAGGAGTCACAGCAGCAGGGAAAGGGGATGGCATTCTGGGGGTAGCCAAGGGATAGAGAAGCTATAGGCGGGCATCCCGGCAGCTTTTCAGTTCCTTTTATGACCCATGGGCACTTGTGCCCTTTGCTTCCTCCTTTTGCCTTTGTCTTTGTGGGTTTGTCCCCTTTTTTTCCCTTGGTTTTTTTTTTTTTTTTTTAACTAAGAACATGTAACATGAAATCTACCCACTTAACAAATTGTTAAGTGTAGAGTATTCACTAGGAACACAATGCTACAGAGCAGATCATTAAAACTTAGACTTTTTCATCTTGCTTAACTGGGCTTGTGCTTTTTGATGTTAAATTTTAATACCGGAAGTTAAAAAGAGTTGATAACAAATATACCAACCAAATGCACAAAGCAGCAGTTTCGTATTTCAAGTTTTTGTTACTGCCATAGTTCTATGAAATGCCCACAGAACTGTGAAAATTTAAATATTCATAAAAATTCATAAAGCTAAGGCTTCGGGAGATATTAAAAAAATTTGCATCATTTACCATATTGGTCTGAAAGTACATTATGATTAAAAACAGTACAATAGTCCAGAGAATAGTATCACCATTCACATTCTGAACCCTGCGGAAGAAGAGGGACTGAAATAAGCCTCGGAGGAAATCAGGTAGAAGGGGGGGATTTTAAGCCTCTGCTTTAAAGTTTTGAAAGTTTTGCATTGTTTGTTTTTAAGTGTATTGTTTTGGTTCTTTTAAAAGCAAGGAAATGTCCAGAAATTATTTAGACTGAAGCAAAAATGGAATTTCTATTCAATTATAGCAACGTCAATATAGGCATATGAAATGAATATTACGCAAAGCAAACTGCAAAGTGGACCCCCTCAGGTACAGAATTCATAGTATCTCACATGACAGCCAGCATCTTTGCAACGGATAAAGTTTCTTTCTTTATTAAGTAACCCTGGGGGCTCCTGGGTGGCTCAGTCGGCTAAGTGTCCAACTCGTGATTTTGGCTCAGGTATGATCTCGGGACTTCTGGGATCGAGCCCCATGCTGGGCTCTGCACTCAGCAGGGAGAGAGCTTGAGGATTCTGTCTCTCTCCCTCTCCCTCTGTCCTTTATCCCACACATGCGCATGCACCCACTCTCTTTCTAAAATAAGTAAATCTTTTAAAAGTAAAGAAAGAAAAAGATAAAAAGTAACTCTCACATTTGTGATGACCTTCTATTTGGACTAACACAGTATTTTTGACCCTTTGTGGCTGTTATTTTTACATCCGCTGCCTACTGAAAAACTGTAGCTCTTAAATTTTTTCTGCATTTTTACTACTGTGCATGTTCTTGCCTAATTCGGTGATTTATGTCTTATGCTGAGTTCTAAAGGACACCTCTTATTTCTGGAGAGCAGCTTCAATCCCCTTGAGGATTCTCTGGCCCAGCAGAGGAGGGTCTGTGACTTGGCTGATGTGCTGGGTTCCTAGGTTTCATCAGACTCTGGAGATGACATTCAGAGGAGGAAAGTACTTCTGTATACTTCAGGAAGTACACAGAATAAATACTAGCTAGAAATTTACACTAGTTTGGTAACTTGGGCCACAAAAAGACCAATCTATGACTTACGCAACGAAGTGCACACGGTACATCATAATCTCATCATAAATGAAATCTCCTAAAATTCTAAGGACTACAATTTTGGAGGGGGGTTGCACCTTGTTCCCATGTGGCCTCTACTCCAGCAACTACACTCCTTGATAAATGAAGGCGCCTCATCTTCCGTGCGGGCCTCTAAGGGCTCTGGCTGCCTTTGTCCCGCGGCTCAACCCCATGCAGTGTGACAGCCATCACGAGGGTTGACCAGCTCTACCAGACCTACCTCGGCCGGAAAGCCGTACTAGCTAAAACGCTGACTTTAAAATAAATCTTAGTCCAGGCTACAGTACACCACCTGAAACTGCTTCAGCAGAGGCACATACTTCGTGAGTGACAACTGCGCTCGCAGGGATCCTCCGCCTGGGGCTTACCGCGGCGGCAGCCAGAGCAAGGCTGGTCCTTCCGCAGAGGCAGCGGTGAGATTATGATGACGATGAGTTCCCCGTCTCTGTCTTCTCAAGCAGCAAAACATTGTTCAGAAAGAGTCCCCCACCCCCCCCACCCCCCAGCCTCTGGCAGCTACCTTAAGCTGCAGTCACTGAATGCCTGGTGACTTGGTCACCAGGCACTTGGGGCCCTCAGAGACTCAAGTGACTCAGAGTGACAAAACAAGTAAATGAAGAGAAGACCTCAGATGAAGTGAAACCCTAATAGCCAGCATTGCTAAGACCAGCCTACCACCTGCGAGCTGACTTGGTCCAGTAATCCACCTTGGCTTCCTGGTTTTGAAATGGGAACACCCCTGGAGCTGGGATTTAGACTAGTTTAGATTCTGGGTCTGGATTTGAATGCTAAGGTGTTTTAACATAAAAAAAACTAAGGATGGGATGCCTGGGTGACTCAGTGGGTTAAGCCTCTGCCTTCAGCTCAGGTCATGATCTCAGGGTCCTGGGATCCAGCCCCACATCGGGCTCTCCGCTCAGCGGGGAGCCTGCTTCCTCCTCTCTCTCTGCCTGCCTCTCTGCCTACTTGTGATTTCTCTCTCTCTCTCAATCTGTCAAATAAATAAATAAAATCTTAAAAAAATAAAAATAAAAATTAAATAAATAAATAAATAAAAAATTAAAAAACCCTAAGGACTACGGCCAGCGAGGGTGGCGGCCGTATCTAGGTAGACAGGAGAGGTTTACCTTTCTGTACCCTTGCACAAGCTCTGTTCTTCCTTGAAAGGGTATTATTTGTAAGTTACCATTTCTTACCCACTTGTTCTCTCATTAGTTTACTTCTTAAATAATGAAAACTATCTTAAACTCTCACATAACCCCCACAAGGTAGACACTATTATTGTTCCCATTCTATAAATTTGAAAGATGAAGGTACGGATCTTGTTCAAGGTGATGGGAAGGTGGAGATTCGAATGCTAAGAGCCTGGCTCACATCTACGCTCTTAGTCACCAGTACCCCTCAGCTCTGCCCAGAGGAAGCGGTGTGGCTGTTCCCGGCTGGCAGCGTCTCAGGAAGGTGGTGGGCAAGCACTCTCACCTGGTCAGTCTTGAGTCTCCCAGTGGTAACACTGCATTATCAGGTCACTCTGATTTATTAAATTTATTAACTGTTCTACTCCAGGGCAGCCTTACAGCACACTCCTCAGCTTCCTCCCAAGGCTCCGTCCCAAACTTGCTTGATGTAAGAATCCCCTGGAAAACTCATTGTTGAAGGTGTAGCTTCTCAGGATCTCAGGATCCACTGGGTTTGATGTGGTCCCAGAAGATTATATTTTTAACAACTGACCTAGATGATTTTTCCGAGTCTTCTCATCAGTCAAATTTGGGAAACAGTGCTCTAGGAGTTTTAGCCAATGGGAACAAATACAGTTGATCTTAAGTATTATGTATTATATGTTAAGTCAAAGTATCAGTAAGCAGATGACATTCTATAGCTGAATTAATCCAAAGCAATCAGTACATATGGCACAAAGTAGTTTTCTTCAGGAAGAACTTGGGGAGTCAGTTGGAATGTCTTTGTTGTTTTTTTTTTTTTTTTCCTCTCTCTGGGTGATGACTGTTAGAAAGAATTCTTTAATGGCTGTGCCCTTGAGGGAGTTTCTGCAATGCTCTGATTATGGAACAGCTTAAATCAAACAGAAAGTAAGCCATTTTATAGAGCTCTTTTAAGTCCTGCCTAAGAGAATTCTGGAGAAGAGTAAATTAAATAAAGAAGAGAAAGGAGTACACAGTTCCAGTTCCTTGTAGGACCCTAAAGGGAAACTCCTTGTACAACTAAGAGAGAGACTCCACTTTCAACGTAAATGTTCATGAATCATATACAGAATGATTAAGGTGAATATCAGGGATTAATTCAATTCACACAGTCTAATCAGGAAGCAGAAACCATCTCTGACATTTAAAGAACACAAATGCAAAATTGTTGTTATTCATGATCATCAAAATATTGTTTAATGTTAATAAAAAAAAAATCTCCTAAGTACCTAATCTGCTTTGACACTATATTCACTGCTTGTCACAAGTGAGAGCTTACGCCCCAGGCACCACTCACAAGCAGACTCCTTTGGTTGCTATATTTATGAGTTAGTCGGGAGAAGAGGAAGAAAAAAAATTAGAAAATAATATTAAAAGACAGTTAAAGAAGGAGAAAGAAAGCCAGTCCTTTCCATCCCGTGGAATGCTCTGCTCCCCAGGCCAGGCCAACTCTGAGCAGTGACTGAGGCGTGAACCCGACATACCTCTTGGTGGGGGTGGGCACTCCAGAGGACGCCGAGGCGTGGCTCACCAGGGTGTCATTCATATTAGCCAGCGGGCGAGGGGGACTGAAAGCAAAGACATTTACATTGTATTAATAATTACCAACATGACCAGGAGAAACAAATGAAAGAGTGATAAGAGCAAAGGAACCAACTATCATTCCACCTGATAAGCACAGTGGGAGCCAGGTGGGAATCGATAGGTGCAGCCCAAGCAAACTCCACAAGAAGGGTTCTCGAGCTCAAAGCCCGTGGACCACAGAGCTATGCTGTACCAGGAGTGACCAATGACCCACACACTGTGACAGGGAGATGACTCCTCTGGCTTTTGTTTCGTAGTTCAGTATACAAGTCTGAGTTGCTACTTAATTTCTCTGCATTTTAGGTGGTTCCAGAGTTAGGAGACCTTTGATGTTTGTGGTATATTACACAGGTCACAACAGCAACATACATGTTTTTCCTGATTTGGTTAAAGTTCACGGTCTTCCCTCAGACTTAGTTTCCATACTGGTTACCAAAAGAGACTATTATTGGTCCTTTACTAGAATCTTAATAATCAACCCATATTTTATACTGATCCTTTAATTAGAATGCTTTCTTTTATAACCTAATCCAAATTTAAATTTGAAAGTAAGTATTTTTAATAACTTGTCTTTAACACTGGTTTTCTGGAGGCCAGGTCTATTGCTCCCTCTTGGAGAGTCTTAAAGGCACAAATCCAAACTTACCAAAAGGAATCTATGATTTTGCCCTTCAGCTATCTTCAGCTGGTCTCCCTCCCCACCAAGTTCAGCTACAAAGGGTTTCTGTCTCGCATGTGGAGCCACATGACTATTGCTAAATATTACTCCTGGGAAATCTCTCACTTCCTCCCCTAAATTGAAAGAAGTACTTTTCAGAGAAATTTGACCATCAAAGCCCAAAAGTGAAGCAGAAAAGTCCTCTCATATTCAGGTGCTTGGGAACTAGCTCCTGGTTTCTCCTTATATTGAAGTGCTGAGTTAATTATGTGAAGTGTTTTTGTAGAGGTTATACTTAGCAAGTCTTGGTGAATATTAAGGGACTAGAACCTTTGCTATTTTGCAGGTTTTATGGTACACTCAAAGAGAGACTCAAGGGAAAATTTTCAGGTAAAGCCAAGGAATCTAAAGGAAAGGTTAAAAGGGATAGATCAATCACCCTAACTGCATACCTACCTACCTACCTACCTGCCTCTATATCTGTCTATATACACTCCTCTAGATCAATCACCCTAACTGCATACCTACCTACCTACCTACCTGCCTCTATATCTGTCTATATACACTCCTCCCTTTCTTTTAACTCAATTTAATTTCTGGGTAAGGAAATATTTTAAATGATTTTTCATTTAATGGAGAGGATCAAAGATGGTATGTAATTTGCAGGGAACAGATTTAGGGCTCTTGATTTTTATTTTTTATTTTATTTATTTATTTATTTATTTATGTATGTATTTTAGGGCTCTTGATTTTTAAGCCACAACACTATGCTTATTGTTACATTTTCCTCCCTTTATGTAACAAGTCACGAAGACATTCAGAATTGAAATATGCCTTTCTAGGTGACAATGTAATTCCACATTATTCATCTCCCTACCTATCTTCCAGGCAGGTGTCCAATATTGCCCCCAAACTTTCAAGCCTATTGATGCTGGTTGCTGTGCTGAGTTATTATCAATCAATCAATCATTTTAGGCTGACTAATAAAAATGAACACAGAGATTAACTTAATTTTCATCCTAAATTTATATTTTGTCTCTAGTCCTTTGAAATCAATTGTCCAAATGCAACAAGGAGACAATTCCTATGAGAGAAACAAATCCAACACCACAGCTTTTCATACTTGAGGGCACCAGAAACATTCTGCTCCTGAAAATAGAATGGGCTTTGCCTCCTTAATATATTATTATTCATAATCCATATCCCAAATAAGATAAGGACATGCTCATGTTGCTTTCAGAACTAATGTAGTTACCTAGTATTTTTCAATATTGAAGATACTACTACATTCAATTTCCTGTCTGATATTCTCAGAGGAAAAATAACAGAAAAAAAACTTTTTAAAAATTTCTTACACATGGATCCATGTGATAAAATTTCATGATTTGGAGTATTTTGTTTGGTCTGATACCACAAAAGTCATTAATAATCATCTCTATCTCTTGTGAGATATTATTATCTTAGAGTACACATATCAGAGCCTCTTCTCCAATATTCAGAACCAGACAGTAATGATTACATTGTAAGTTGGAAGCTAATCGTAACTCCCCTCAAACTTCCAAGCCTTTGTGAACTTCTAGCACATTTTGATAGAGAAATAGGTACTATGTGTTTGTAGTCCAAGATGGAAGAGGTATTTGAAAACATAAATGGTGTCTTTACTGTAGGATCTACCACTAGACCCACAATTCACTGTGAAAGCCAACAATTCAGACGTGGTCTTAGAAGATGTATTATACCATAAATGACTTTCAGCTTAAAAAATGTTTCATAGTTCCTATAAGACAGCAAAAGAATGCTTCCAGGTGTGAAGTAGACATCAATGGTACCAGTTATAGAACCTTACAAAGCAGAATTGATCCAAGTTATCAGATCAGTTTTGGTGGCTGTCTTGAACATTCAAAACCTGTTGAATACCTTGAACAGGCCACAAGATGTTCTACATCTTCCTTTGGTGAAGATCTCAGCAAGGTATCTTTAGACACTAGTGAGTTCTGTGATACTCAACTGACCACCAACCATCACTTTGTACAAATTCGGGAGGCTCCTTCTTTGTTCATAAGACATGCCAATTTTTTGATGAGAAGATAGAAGCAAATGGATGCTACCGATGGACGTAATCTGCCAGGCAGAAGAGGTGGGTATAAAAAGAAGACTTGGAGAGAATTTTAAAAATCTTAATCAAAAGGAAAGAAGCATTCTTACTGGGTGTCTACTCATAAAAGATAAGTAAAACTATCTTCACCTCAATAACATAATCATATATTGATGAAGACAGATATGTAAACAAATTACCAAATTAAATGAATGCAAAGTAGTGAGAGCAGCAACACAAGTACAAAGTGTTGAGGAGTCCAGTGAAAAGCAGTGACTCCCGCCTGGAAGAAGGAGGGGCAAGTGCAGTCATGGCAAGCTAACACTGAGGAGAGACATTCCCAGCTACAGAAAAAAAGTTAAGGGCACCCTAGATAGACAAAGTGATTTGGAAAAAGGGATTGAAACCCAAAAGTACGTGACATATTTGGGGCTAACTTAGTTGTCTAGACCCAAAAGCACTTGAAAGGGAGTAGCTGAAAAATGACTCTGGAAAGTAGATTAGGGCCAGGATGTGAATGAAGCCTGTTCTACCACAAGCTAAGAAGTTCGGACTTTATACTAGAGGCAGTGGGGGAAGCATGGAACACTTTCAAGTCAAAGGAAACTGGGCCTTGAAAACATAACCTGAGAAACTTGTAAATCACCGGTTTTAATCAAGGGTGTGCATAGGAATAATCTTTGAAACTTTCTGTAAAAAAGGTACTAGGTCTCCCCCTCAGTTAGTGAATCTCAGTCTTGAGGGGAAAGAGGACTTTTTCTAACGCTTACTCCATTTAAAAATCACTTATGTAGAATGGATTGGGAAGGAGGATGGTATGGAAGCTGGGAGACCAATTAAGAGGTTATGACAATTGTCCAGGTCAGGGATTATAAGGGTTGACAGTGGGAAAGAGAGAAAAGGAAAAATACTGCTGAGATGATAAAAAAAAAATAAAATAAAAAAGATAAGGTACAAGAACTGAGTCAGTACGTGGGGTTAGTGGGCCAAGAATGACTACTGGTGGTTCATGATATCGATATCCAAACCAGGGAACACAAGAGGAGGAAATAGGATTTGGTGTTGGGTAGACAGAATAAGCGGGGAGGATTTCACTTTTGAAATTGCTGAATTTGAAGTCGCATGGATAAGTACAGGTACGTGATACCTAGAAAGCAGTTGGAAACAGGAGAATAGGAACCCAGGTGCCATAACAAGTTTGAAAATAATCGAGAATAGTCATTTAAATTGTCGATATTCATTTAAGTTCTGATCACTATAAAGGTGTATTTTTATTTACTGTTTTCAGATAGAGCAGTATAGGTTTGGGGAAATATCCAGTAAGAGGATGGCTTAGATAACAGGTAAAGAACTTCCAGTTACTGGTCAAATACACCTCTTATCGTAAAGTAAAAATTTCACTTACTGGTACAAGGCATTTTCACATTACTTCTCTTATGACCAGACCACTCCAGTTCATTCTAGTGGATGCTCTAGCATGTAGACTAACTTAAAATTAAAACTGCTACAGAATCTCTCTTAGGGTTTTGAAAGCTAGGAACAGATGATGAATACTTCATCATGCATTTAAAATCTTAAGGACAAATTATATATAACTGTATATTTCTTTTTTCATTTATCAACTATTTGTTCTCTACAAAGTGGGTGGTATGGTGCTAGCTGCTAGGGATAAAAATGAAAGAGATAGAAACTTAAGTCCTGGGGTGCCTGGGTGGCTCAGTGGGTTAAGCCTCTGCCTTAGGCTCAGGTCACGATCTCAGGGTCCTGGGATCGAGCCCTGCATGGGGCTCTCTGCTCAGCGGGGAGCCTGCTTCCTCCTCTCTCTTTGCCTGCCTCTCTGCCTACTTGTGATCTCTGTCAAATAAATAAATAAAATCTTTAAAAAAATTAAAAAAAAAAACTTAAGTCTTATAAGGAAGAAAAATTATTTATAATAAAAATAATTCACAGAAAAATAATTACAATATAATGCAATAAGTATTTAATAGAAGAAAAACTGTAACATGCCATGGGAAAATATTGAGATCATCTTACTGCATAAAGAAAAACGTATTTCTAGGATGTTAAAGAGCTAAATGTAAATGTTAAATTACATAAATTAGAAAAAAACATATGGGTCTATAGATAGAAAGGATTTGCTAAGGCCAAAAGTAACGGAAAAATTAGGAAGGAAAAGGATATTAATTCGAATGTTAAAAATCAGAAAAGAAAGAAAAATATAAATTTAGGAC